TGCATGTTTTTACAAATTCACCCTCACTAAATGGTTTTGAAGCCACTGCGATTTCATTAGCAATGAGGTAGCTAGCTTTCACTGCAGCGTCACTGATGTCTCGGCTGTGAGTAAACACAGACTGCTGTTTCTTCAGACCCGCCAACAGTTCATTCACCTTCTCTCTTCTCCGCTGTCCTTGAAAGTTGTCATATTTGTTGGCATGAAGACTCACATAGTGGCGACAAAGATTATATTCTTTCAGCACTGCAACATGCTGTGAACACACCAAACATACAGCTTTCCCATTCAATTCCGTTAATAAATAGGAGGATGACCATTTTTCTTGGAACACTCTGCACTCTGCACTCTGCGTCCACTTTTCTCTTTTTTGACAGAGACATATTGGGGCAATGAGGGTGCCAAAGCACATAATGTTAAAAGTAGAAGCCGTAATAAATATTGCGGGCAAAACAAAGTAGTTCATCCGGACTGGCTGCACTTGCTTGACCTACTTGCTCTGCCCCGGTATAAACAGTTTGCTTGCTTATCACAATTGCTATTGCACCATCCAGTGGACGCAATTGGAACAGCAGTTTCTTTTATTGAAAAATTGCAGCTCATTTTTATACTTTACAAAATCATCTCGCGGGCCGTATTAAACCCGCTTGCGGGCCTGATCCGGCCCGCGGGCCGGACGTTTGACACCCCTGACCTAGGCGAAGGAGATGGGACTGTATGGAAGGGAGTTTAGTCCAACGGTAGTTATTCCTGTAAATCCACCATGGTTACTCCCGTCTCCAGTAGTTGATCTAGAAGTGTTGGAGAGACTACAGAAAGATGGGCAGGTTGTTGATCCAGCTGATTTCTTTAAGAGACATCTGGAAACTGTATCAGGATTTTGTGGCCATTTACACAGATGACACAGATGGCCCCATTCATTCTTTCCTTTACACGGATCAGTTGTCCTGGTCCCTTTGCAGAAAAACAGCCCCAAAGCATGATGTTTCCACCCCCATGCTTCACAGTGGGTATGGTGTTCTTTGGATGCAACTCAGCATTCTTTGTCCTCCAAACACGACGAGTTGAGTTTTTACCAAAAAGTTCTATTTTGGTTTCATCTGACCATATGACATTCTCCCAATCCTCTTCTGGATCATCCAAATGCACTCTAGCAAACTTCAGACGGGCCTGGACATGTACTGGCTTAAGCAGGGGGACACGTCTGGCACTGCAGGATTTGAGTCCCTGGCGGCGTAGTGTGTTACTGATGGTAGGCTTTGTTACTTTGGTCCCAGATCTCTACAGGTCATTCACTAGGTCCCCCCGTGTGGTTCTGGGATTTTTGCTCACCGTTCTTGTGATCATGTTGACCCCACGGGGTGAGATCTTGCGTAGAGCCCCAGATCGAGGGAGATTATCAGTTGTAAATGTAATGTCTTGTATGTCTTCCATTTCCTAATAATTGCTCCCACAGTTGATTTCTTCAAACCAAGCTGCTTACCTATTGCAGATTCAGTCTTCCCAGCCTGGTGCAGGTCTACAATTTTGTTTCTGGTGTCCTTTGACAGCTCTTTGGTCTTGGCCATAGTGGAGTTTGGAGTGTGACTGTTTGAGGTTGTGGACAGGTGTCTTTTATACTGATAACAAGTTCAAACAGGTGCCATTAATACAGGTAACGAGTGGAGGACAGAGGAGCCTCTTAAAGAAGAAGTTACAGGTCTGTGAGAGCCAGAAATCTTGCTTGTTTGTAGGTGACCAAATACTTATTTTCCACCATAATTTGCAAATAAATTCATTAAAAATCCTACAATGTTCTCATTTTGTCTGTCATAGTTGACGTGTACCTATGATGAAAATTACAGGCCTCTCTCATCTTTCTAAGTGGGAGAACTTGCACAATTGGTGGCTGACTAAATACTTTTTCCCCCCACTGTACAGTGATGGTGAAGAGATGGCAGGAGCAGTGGAATATAAATAATAAGGGAAGGCATTTATTTCAAGTACAGATGAAAGTCGGGGAGGGGACAGAAGAGAGGAGGCTATTTTTACAAGATTAAGGGTGGGACACAGCCAGTTGAATAAGACATTAAACGTGATAGGAAATAGAAACTGTGGAGCATGTATTGCTACAGTGTGGGCAGTATCAGAGGGAAAGATAGGATGAGATTTAGTATGAGGGAGAAGGGGATACAGGAAATTAGTTTAAATAGTATATTGAGTAGAGCGCCATTAGATAGAGTCTCAAATATTTGTTATCTTTTCTAAGAGAAACGGGGTTGGCAGGTAGGATTTAGTTTATCCCTATCTCTGGCCCACACTCCAGTACGGTAGGTGGCAGTAATGCACCATAACGTTTGATGCCAACTGCTGATAAACCCCACTGAAGAAGACGGGGGTTACCTGACCCATGCAAAGGAAGTGCAAACAGTGGTCTTCCGGTCCCTGTTTTGAATCGAAGAAGGTAAGTGAAGCTATTTTTCCTTCTGTCCGTGAACGTTTTGCTTAGAATACATTTTTTATTTTTATTTTTTGCACATCGTTGATGTCGTTATAACAAAGTTACGCGTTAGGTGGGTGACCATCCTCAAATGTAGCTACATAAGCTAGTTAGCAAGCTGCGTAATTTGGTTTATCCAAGTTTCACCAAAACCACGGCAAGTGATGTATGTGTTGTTTTTGTAGCTAACTCGCGCCGTTTTTCACCAACAGTTCACACACATCTGCTAGCGAGATTCTAGACAGCTTGTCTACCGTAACTTCAATTTAAGGTCGTCTCAAATAGCTGCCTGTCCCTTTTAATAGCCGGGCAACGGCACACATTTCAGCAAACATAAGCCTTTTTTAAATAAACGCCCGGTCTAAATCAATTGTTTGTGGTTAACATGAATTGTTTACTAGGTGTAATGTTTGATCTGTTACATTTCAATTATTCAGTAATAACTCGCCAGTAAAAAACTGCTAGTGCAACTACCTAAAAATCGGCCGATCGCCATCTAGTGGCGGAAGTAACTGCCGAAAATGTACAGTCAAATATAATAATTATTCTGTCAAGGAAAAGGTTGTTTTTTAGGCATACTAAGACAAAAGAAACCTGACAGTTTAATTGATAACGCATTAGTTCAGGAAATGAAAACAATTTATTTAAGTGAATGCTGGAATTGAACAATGAACTATGCGAAGCTGTGTGCATTAAGAAAATACACAACAAAAATAAAAGCAACATACAACAATTTCAAAGATTTTACTGAGTTATAAGGAAACCTGTCAATTGAAATAAATTCATTGGGCCCTAACCTATGAATTTCACATTACTGGTAATACAGATATGCATCTGTTGGTCACATTTACATTTTAAATAAAAGTAGCGGCATGGATCAGAAAAGCATTCAGTATCTGGTGTGACCACCATTTGCCTCATGCAGCATGACACATCTCCTTCACATAGAGTTGATCAGGCTGTTGATTGTGGCCTGTGGAGTGTTGTCCCACTCCTCTTCAATGGCTGTGCGAAGTTGCTGGATATTGGCGGGAACTGGAACACGCTGTCGTACACTGCGATCCAGAGCATCCCAAACATGCTCAATGGGTGACATGTCTGGTGAGTATGCAGGCCATGGAAGAACTGGGACATTTTCAGCTTCCAGGAATTGTGTACAGATCCTTGCGTCATGGGGCCGTGCGTTATCATGCGGAAACATGAGGTGAATGCGGCAGATGAATGGCACGACAATGGGCCTCAGGATCTCGTCAGGGTATCTCTGTGCATTCAAATTGCCATTGCTAAAATGCAATTGTGTTCATTGTCCGTAGCTTATGCCTGCCCATACCATATATGCCTGCCTGTACCATTATGGCAATTAACATTCCTGCAGTCAGCATGCCAATTGCACATTCCCTCAACTTGTGGCATTGTGTTGTATGACAAAACTGCACCTTTTAGTGGCCTTTTATTGTCCCCAGCTCAAGGTGCACCTGTGTAATGAGCATGGTCCCGTGTGGCTCAGTTGGAAGAGCAGGGCGCGTTCAACTTCAGGGTTGTGGGCTCAATTCCCACGGGGGACCAGTACTGGGAAATAAAGTATGAAATGTTGCTCTCATGACGATATGTCGCTCTGGAAAAGAGCATCTACTAAATGACTAAAATATAAATGTAATCATGCTATTTAATCAGCTTCTTGATGTGCCACACCTGTCAGGTGGATGGATTATCTTGGCAAAGGAGAAATGCTCACTAACAGGGATGTAAACAAATGTGTGCATTTTTTTTGGTATTTTATTTTTTGAGAAAGAAGCTTTTTGTCCGTATGGAATATTTTTGATCTATTATTTTAGCTCATGAAACCTAGGACCAACACTTTTTTTTGCATTTATATTTTTGTTCAATGTAGACGCCTGGCTCAAATAGAAGCCTGTCTCTAATAAACGCCTATTGTGTAGAGTGATTTAAGAAAATAAATGCTGCCCATTAATTTAAGTTTTATGGTAATTTAACACTACTAGCCTTGTTAGTTGAGTGTTTTGACTTTTGGCTAATAATGCATAATTGTGTGTTCTTCATCTTTGCATAGCAGCCTAAGTCTGCAGTGTTGTGTGTGTGTGTGTGTGTGTATAGGCTGTTATGGTCCCGGGACACACTCTTTTCATGGCACTTCGATACCAAGTGATTTCCGTAGCAGGTAAGGAGAGCATTTTCCTAACCTTAATTTCAGTCTCCTAACCTGCTATGTTAATTATCCTAACCTGCTGTGTAAGTTCTCCTCACCTGCTATGAAAACGTCACTAAAGTATTGAAGTGCCATGAAGAGTTTCCCTTATGGTCCCTGACCTAGTCTAGCTCTTGTCTTGGTAAGGCTGATGCTCACTGAAACTCTGCTTCTCTTTTCACTCAGAAGTGATTTACATTAGAGGCACTTTAGTCAACAAGATGAAGATCAAACAACATGCAAAAACTAAACCACTGCACACAAAAAATAAGGGGACTGAACGCCATGGAAACCTGGGTATAACATACACAGAACATGACCCACAGTCAGGCGATGACTCCACCGGCAGAGATGAATCAGACTTTACCCAAGCCCTCTCAAAGAGCACCAGTTCAAATCAACATTCAGATTCTAGTCCACTCCACAAGGATCCTGTGGTAGTGCTAACCAGGTTGGCTGATGTAAGTAGGATTAGTGTTTTCTAATGTGTCTAGTATTGTGGCAATATCATTAAGATTGTTAATGCATACTTGTATTTCTGTCTCTTTCTAATCCACAAGGTGGTGGTTAAGACACTTCTGAGAGACATTAAAGTGTGTTTGGTGAAGGAGGAGACTGATGCCAGGAGGGATGAATGCAACAATGGAGGTAGGACATATTGTTTAACATACTCCAGTCTACTCCCAACAGTGCAGTTTAAATGATTGATGGTTACTGGAAAATTCATATTAACAAGGTTTTAATTTGATATGGGCAATGACTATTGAATGAGGAAATTGACATTTGCCATTATTGTCTCTTCCCTTCCTCCCCTTTTGTCATACCCATCTCTTCTCTCCCTCTATCCCTCACTCTCAGTTTCTTCTCAGTTTTTTCCTTGTCCACACTGCACCATCTCCTTCACTGACTGTTACTTCCTGGAGAACCACATCAAGACCAAACACCAGAAGCAGTACCTGGCCATGTTGAAAAGCCAAGTCTCAAAGAGTAAAACCGTGTACGGCCCCACACACAGCTGTCCCCACTGTAGCTGCATGTTCCATACACCACGACAGCTAGACATTCACACCCGCAAGGCCCACCCCTCTGCCCTTCCCCAAAAACCTGCCCCTCCCCGGAAACCTGCCCGTCCCCACAGGGTTCAGGAGAAGTTCCACACCTGCCCGCAGTGTTCCCGCAGATTCAAGTACCTGGGCAGCCTGCTGAAGCACTGCAAGAGTTTGCACAAAATGGCCGTTGCTCTCACCGAAGGACACATCAGTTGCGCGGACTGTGGGAAGAGCTTTGAGAATTGCTGGGGCCTGGGGCCTCACCGGTGTCACGAACCAGAGGGTTCTAAACCTAAGGACACTAAGCCTGTGATCTGTCTGGAAGTCGGCTTCCAATGCTTAGAGTGTGGCAAGATCCTCACTACTCCTACGAACCTGAACGCTCACATGCGCATCCACACCGGAGAGAAGCCTTATGTCTGCAAGGAGTGCGGCAAGCGCTTCTCAGGTACCAGCGCTTACCGTTATCACTTGTTAATACACAATGGGGTCAAGCCATTCAAATGCCAGGACTGCGGGAAGTCTTTCAAACAGAAGACACTCCTCAGGAAACACATGACTGTTCACTCTGGTGAGAGGAAGTACTCTTGCTCCCAATGTGACAGGCAGTTTGCATACAGGGAGAGTCTGAAGCTTCACCTGCGCACGCACTCAGGGGAGAGACCTTTCAAATGTACGGTGTGTGGTAAAGACTTTGCTGACAAAGGTTATCTGCAAACTCATCTGAAGATCCACAGCAACCAGAAAAACTACCATTGTGGGGTTTGTGGGCAGAAGTTCATAAGGATTGGGGTGCTGAACACACACCTGCGCTCACACACCGGGGAGAGGCCTTACCACTGCACAGTGTGTGACAAGCAATTTTCCCGACTCGATCACCTGAAGAACCACCAGCGCACTCACACAGGTGAGAAACCATACACCTGTACAGAGTGTGGTAAAAGCTTCACTCAGTCTGGAGATCTGGCCAAACACAAGCGCCTCCACACTGGGGAGAGGCCATTTGAATGTTCTGAATGCCACAAACGGTTTATCTGCTCTGCTTCTCTGACCCTGCACATGAGGACCCACACTCACCGTGATGTAAAGCCATACTCCTGCCAAGAGTGTGGGAAGAGCTTTTATGAACAGAGTCACGTTAAAGTCCACATGAAAATCCACAAGGGGAAACCGTATTCCTGCCCCCACTGCTTTGCCAGCTTTGCTCGCAAGTCCAACCTCTCCAAACACCTGCTTAGATGTCGTAAACCTAAATGATTATGCTGTATATTTTTAACATGACACCTTTTATGAAACTCAGTTACTCTTATGAATTAATAGCAGGGGAGACTGATCTCTTTAGTCAGTGATAGATGTGACAACAAATGCTAACACATTTTTGCTCCCCTGTTTATGGTAACGCCACAATGTTTTAGCAATCCTCCAGTTGGGTCACACAGTGAGCTCCAAAAGTATTGGGACAGTGACAGGTATTGGCTCTGTACTCCAGCACTTTGGATTTTAAATGATACAATGACTATGAGGTTAAAGTGCAGATTGTCAGGTTTATTTTGAGGGTCATTTCATACATAGCTGGTGAACCGTTTGGAAAGAACAGCACATTTTGTACATATCCCCCCCCCCATTTTAAGGGAACCAAAAGTATTGGGACTAATTCACTTATGTGTAGTAAAGTAGTCAAAAGTGTATTATTTGGTCCCATATTCATAGCACGCAATGCTTACATCACGCTTGTGACTCTGGATGCCTTTGCGGTTTGTTTTGGTTGTGTTTCAGAGTATTTTGTCCCCAATAGAAATGAATGCTAAATATTGTGTAGTGTCACTTTTATTGTAAATAAGAATATAATGTTTATAAACACTTCCACATTCATGTGGATGCTGCCATGATTACGGATAGTCCTGAATGAATCGTGAATAATGAGTGAGAAAGTTACAGGCATTAATATACACTGCTCAAAAAAATAAAGGGAACACTTAAACAACACAATGTAACTCCAAGTCAATCACACTTCTGTGAAATCAAACTGTCCACTTAGGAAGCAACACTGATTGACAATACATTTCACATGCTGTTGTGCAAATGGAATAGACAACAGGTGGAAATTATAGGCAATTAGCAAGACACCCCCAATAAAGGAGTGGTTCTACAGGTGGTGACCACAGACCACTGCTCAGTTCCTATGCTTCCTGGCTGATGTTTTGGTCACTTTTGAATGCTGGCGGTGCTTTCACTCTAGTGGTAGCATGAGACGGAGTCTACAACCCACACAAGTGGCTCAGGTAGTGCAGCTCATCCAGGATGGCACATCAATGCGAGCTGTGGCAAGAAGGTTTGCTGTGTCTGTCAGCGTAGTGTCCAGAGCATGGAGGCGCTACCAGGAGACAGGCCAGTACATCAGGAGACGTGGAGGAGGCCGTAGGAGGGCAACAACACAGCAGCAGGACCGCTACCTCCGCCTTTGTGCAAGGAGGAGCAGGAGGAGCACTGCCAGAGCCCTGCAAAATGACCTCCAGCAGGCCACAAATGTGCATGTGTCTGCTCAAACGGTCAGAAACAGACTCCATGAGGGTGGTATGAGGGCCCGACGTCCAAAGGTTGGGGTTGTGCTTACAGCCCAACACCGTGCAGGACGTTTGGCATTTGCCAGAGAACACCAAGATTGGCAAATTCGCCACTGGCGCCCTGTGCTCTTCACAGATGAATGCAGGTTCACACTGAGCACATGTGACAGACGTGACAGAGTCTGGAGACGCCGTGGAGAAAGTTCTGCTTCCAGCAACATCCTCCAGCATGACCGGTTTGGCGGTGGGTCAGTCATGGTGTGGGGTGGCATTTCTTTGGGGGGCCGCACAGCCCTCCATGTGCTCGCCAGAGGTAGCCTGACTGCCATTAGGTACCGAGATGAGATCCTCAGACCCCTTGTGAGACCATATGCTGGTGCGGTTGGCCCTGGGATCCTCCTAATGCAAGACAATGCTAGACCTCATGTGGCTGGAGTGTGTCAGCAGTTCCTGCAAGAGGAAGGCATTGATGCTATGGACTGGCCCGCCCATTCCCCAGACCTGAATCCAATTGAGCACATCTGGGACATCATGTCTCGCTCCATCCACCAACGCCACGTTGCACCACAGACTATCCAGGAGTTGGCGGATGCTTTAGTCCAGGTCTGGGAGGAGATCCCTCAGGAGACCATCCGCCACCTCTTCAGGAGCATGCCCAGGCGTTGTAGGGAGGTCAAACAGGCACGTGGAGGCCACACACACTACTGAGCCTCATTTTGACTTGTTTTAAGGACATTACATCAAAGTTGGATGAGCCTGTAGTGTGGTTTTCCACTTTAATTTTGAGTGTGACTCCAAATCCAGACCTCCATGGGTTGATAAATTAGATTTCCATTTATCATTTTTGTGTGATTTTGTTGTCAGCACATTCAACTATGTAAAGAAAAAATTATTTAATAAGATTATTTCATTCATTCAGATCTAGGATATGTTATTTTAGTGTTCCCTTTATTTTTTTGAGCAGTGTAATCCCCCCCCCCCCCCCCCCCCCCCCCCTTCCATAAAAAAAAAAAATCCTAACCTCCTCTGTTATTGTAATGGTGAGAGGTTAGCATGTCTTGGGGGTATGATATTCACGATTCACTCAGGACTATCCGTAATCATGGTAGCATCCAACAAGTTTGTAGGGTAACAATCTTGATGTAATCATTGCGTGATAGGAATAATGGACCAAATACTAAACTTTAGACTAATTTTAAAACACAAGTGAATTTGTCTTAATACTTTTGGTCCCCTAAAATGGGTGGACTATGTTCAAAAAGTGGTGTAATTTCTAAACAGTTCATATGGATGAAAAAACTCAAATTAAAGCTTGACAGTCTGCACTTTAACCTCAGTCATTGAATCATTTAAAATCCAAAGTGCTAGAGGTACAGAGCCAAAAGAACAAAATAAAACTTCACTGTCCCAATACTTTTGCAGCTCACTGTACATTAGGTGGTTACTTTTATTGTTCTTTTGTTTTGTGGTTGTTTGCTAACCAGTTAAATGTAATCTACATAATTCCCAAAAGTAATTATCATGAGGGCCATAAACAATAACTAGTAATGCTGCGTATTCAAAGAAAGGTTAAAATCTCACCTTTCTGGTAAAAAATAGTTCTAAGTTGCTGAGTTGTCACTTGAGGACACAAGCTCAAGTACACAGTACAAATATGATACAATTATGAAATGTTATGTATTTCCTATTCAACAAAATTGTATGAATAAGGCTTGAAATGACATATGCTTTCTAAATATAGCATAATGAAATTATAAAATGGCTAACGATAAGATTTCACCTTCTATAACTGTAAATTACATTCGTTTTTTTGTTTAGAGAAAATCTGCATATTCTTTTAGGTTTCTCTTGATCAAAACATCTGCCCCCGTCGCTCTGAACGTCTCACAGAGCTCTAGATTGGCTTCATGAACTCGTTAGGAACTCGCCTTCCATCTCATATTAATCATTTTTTTGTTTAAAATCTGTTAATTATTTTAGATGAATGGCTATAAATCGATCTCTGAATGTGCTACTGTGATGAAAGCACTCTCCTGCTGCGTTATGATGTAAGGATTGCAGGCATGTGCTGTGATATAGGGTTCAGACAGGAGTTGGACAGTTGGAAGAGCGATTGAAATGGTAGGAGGGACATCCCAGCTTCAAGTGGTTTAAGATTTCACATCCTACATCACACAGGCTCAGAAAAATTTCGAACCAAACAGGGGACCTTATGTCTAAAAGGTTTTAAACACCAGTTTGTTTTGAATCGTTTTTTTATTTGCTCTGTTTAAAAATAAACAGTGATGTACAGAAGATGGTTTGATGACTGATTGTCCTGGTGATCAGTAGGCGATAAATTCTGAAAGATGATCGTCTGTTTTTTTTGCTTTGTGTTTGTAGTGTATTCCTTGATTTGGAACAAGAGGAGCACTTATGTAAAGGTCACTCCCATAGTATTGTATTGTTATAAACATGACATTAAATTAAAGTTAATTACAGAGACCACTTGAACAGTTGGAACACATGATTTGTTTCAGTACATAAACCATCATTGGCCTGCACTGGTTGTGATTTTTATTGCATAACCAAACATTTCAACATGGTTGACAAGCATGTAGTATTCTTTCTCTGTGTGTACACGTAAGTATTCAGACCCTTTACTCAGTACTTTGTTGAAGCACCGTTGGCAGCGATTATAGCCTCAAGTCTTCTTGGCACACCTGTTTCTCCCATTTTTCTCTGCAGATCCTCAAGCTCTGTCAGGTTGGTTGGGGAGCATCGCTGCACAGCTATTTTTAGGTCTCTCCAGAGATGTTCGATATGGTTCAAGTCTGGGCTCTGGCTGGGCAACTCAAGGACATTCAGAGACTTGTCCCGAAGCCAGTCCTGCGTTGTCTTGGCTGTGTGCTTAGGGTCATAGTCCTGTTGGAAGGTGAACCTTCGCCCCAGTCTGAGCGCTCTGGAGCAGGTTTTCATCAAGGATCTCTCTGTACTTTGCTCCGTTCATCTTTCCCTTGATCCTGACTTGTCTCCCAGTCCCTTCCGCTGAAAAACATCCCCACAGCATGACACTGCAACCACCATGCTTCAACGTAGGGATGGTATTGGCCAGGTGATGAACGGTGCCTGGTTTTCTCCTGACGTGACGCTTGGCATTCAGGCCAAAGAGTTAAATCTTGGTTTCATCAGACCAGAGAATCTTGTTGTGGTCAGAGTCCTTTAGGTGCCTTTTGGCAAACTCCAAGCAGGCTGTCATGTGCCTTTTACTGAGGAGTGACTTCCATCTGGCCACTCTACCATAAAGGCCTGATTTGGTGGAGTGCTGCAGAAGTGGTTGTCCTTCTGGAAGGTTCTTCCATCTCCACAGAGGAACGCTGGAGCTCTGTCAGAGTGACCATCGGGTTCATGGTCACCTCCTTGACCAAGGCCCTTCTCCCCCGATTGCTCAGTTTGGCCGGGGCGGCCAGCTCTAGGAAGAGTCTTGGTGGTTCCAAACTTCTTCCATTTAAGAATAATGGAGGCCAGTGTGTTCTTGGGGACCTTCAATGCTGCAGAAATGTTGTGGTACCCTGCCCCTGATCTGTGCCTTGACACAATCCTGTCTCTGAGCTCTACGGACAATTCCTTGGACCTCATGGCTTGGTTTTTGCTCTGATGTGTACTGTCAACTGTGTGACCTTATATAGACAGGTGTGTGCCTTTCCAAATCATGTCCAATCAATTGAATTTACCACAGGTGGACTCCAATCAATTTGTAGAAACATCTCAAGGATGATCAATGGAAACAGGATGCACCTGAGATCAATTTTGAGTCTCATAGCAAAGAGTCTGAATACTGAGGTAAATGTGATATTTCAGTTTATTATTTGTAATAAATTTGCAAAAATGTCTAAACCTGTTTTCGCTTTGTCATTATGGGGTATTGTGTGTAGATTGAGGGGAAAAAACAATGTAATCAATTTTAGATTAGGGCTGTAATGTAACAAAATGTGGATAAAGTCAAGGGGATTGAATACTTTCCGAATGCACTGTATATATTGTGTGTGTGTGTATATATATATATATATATATATATATATGGTAGTATCATTACTACATTTTGACTACCATTTGTTATGGACACGATTCCACGGGAATACTACTTTAAGAATGCACACCCAATCAACAGCCTCTTCATCTTTGGCTATTACCTGATTGGCCATTTGTCCTCGCTAAAGTAAATTATCTTCTGAATTTAACAATCTCGGCCAGTACGAAATCCAGCATGCTGTTTTATACGTGAAGATTAACAAGAAACAAAAACGGTTTCTGGTGGATTTGGTAATTGTTGGGTGAGAAGCGGTAAAAGTTGTGTAACGTTAGCTTTCTTGCTCGCCAGTTTATAGCCTAAAATTGCCGAAGGTGATTAGATTTTTAGCATGCTATTTTCTCATCAACAAAGATCATTATTAGCTAGCTACCTAGCGCTAGCAGTACTCAATTTAGTACAGTCATAGCTTGCTACAGCCTTAGCGAAGAGGCTAGTGCCATAAAATACCCTAAAAGGCACTTTATGGCATGGTTGGGACCCGCAAGACGTTCAATTATGATAATAGGGTGTGAATAGATCATTGCTATTGCTGGTGGTTTGTTTATAAGTAGACTAGCTAGCTAGTTCCGAGCGTCTGGCTCTTAGTAGGCTTCAGCATTTCGTAGTTTGGTTCATGCAGGCTTATGGGTTCTTCATCATTCTGAAGAATTTATTTGATAATGCAGCGTAATGTTACATTTGGTGTTGGATGGGTGATGGACTGGTCTAGCTCTTGAGTCCAGTCGGCTTGGTCTTTTCCCCACAGAATTCAAAGAAAGATTAAGGTTGACTTGAGGCACTCAAGTCAACAAGATGGAGAACAAACCAGGAAAAAGCTACAAAACCAAGAGGCCTAAACAGTCCAACACGAGTGGGGTTACTTTCAACTCCATCCAAATAAAAATGGAACCAAGATTTGAGCAGAAGGAAATGGGTGACCATTCCAAACTTTCCTTGCTGAAGAAGCATGTCAAGCAACATCAAACTACATCCAACCAAGCGACCCTGTGTAGCCAGATATCATGGAGTCCTCTAGTGATGCTAACAAGATTGTCTAATGTAAGAAGAGTTGGTAGTCTTTCCAAACGTGACAGTTAGTAACTAGACGAGAGTATTTAGATTGTTGGTTAATGCATACTGTTTTCTTCATCTGTCTAATCCATAAGGTGGTGGTTAAGACTCTTCTGAGAGACACTAAAGTGTGTTTAGTGAAGGAAGAGACGGATGCCAGGAAGGATGAAGACAACAATGGAGGTAGGGCATAGTGTTTAACATACTCCAGTCTACTCCCAGCACTGCAGTTTAACGCTGGAAGAGTCCTAAACTCATGTCTAACACTACATAGTTCATCTCCTGTGACCCAGATGTAGTGCTGAGTGATTAGTGCTTTTTGAGGTTGGTTCTGTTTCAATTATATAATTTAAAAATTAATGGTTTGCAGTTTGGGTTATTTAAAAAACAACAACATTAAATGCAGTAAACATTAAATGCACCATGAGTGCTGGAACACAGAATATAACAATGAATAAAAGTCCCTTGATGCCCGTTACTGCTTATCACTTATTAACCATAATTTATTCACATTACTTTAATAAAATATTTGTCTGTTACACTTTATTATTATGACTTTATTATTACATTCCAAGTCATTTAATCTCTATAGAGCTGCTGCCTATTTTCGGACAAAATCGCTATTTTAGTAGTTCTTCAAAGTAAATAAGGCATACTTTTATGACTGCTGATTACCAGCTATCAATCACTTAGATTATGTATTTTCAACTGCTCTCCATCTCCTTTTTTACGTAGCAGGCGTAAAAGAAACGGACCAGACAAGTAGGCACGCAATGGATTATGGTCATTGTAGTTAATTACAACGTTTTCTCTGCAAATTATGAAGACTATTTTGAAACTAGAACTCCGTACTACATTGCACAGTTCGGGCTTGGTTTGATTAATCTCTAGAGAAACTGCGCAATGTGTGCATTGACCTCACATATAAAAACAAATGGAATTCAAATAATTGAACCGACGTCAGTCATTTAGTTGTTTAAAAAATGAAAAATAACCCAACATTTCGGTTAATCGCTCAGCACTACCCAGATGTATGTCTTAGTAGCATTTGTTGTGTCCTGTCATCTCTAAGATGTAGTGATTATGTAGAAGAAAAAGAAGTCAAGAAAAACGTTCTAAGCCAGAGCTAGAGGGATTTTTGTAAGTGATGTAAATGTCCTTGGGTCTAACCGGGTTAAATGGGTGAAGAATTACTGAAGGTGAATTAAATGTCAGCAAGGATTTCTTCATTTTCTTATGAGGAAAATGACATTTCTCATTATTGTCTGTTCCCTTTCTCCTCTCTTATCATTTTCTTCTTTCCCTTCCATCCACCCACCCATCTCTGTCCTCCCTCAGTTGTGTCTCCTCAGTTCTTCCCTTGTCCACACTGCACCATCTCCTTTACTGACTGTTACTTCCTGGAGAACCACATCAAGACCAAACACCAGAAGCAGTACCTGGCCATGTTGAAAAGCCAAGTCTCAAAGAGTAAAACAGTGTATGGCCCCACACACAGCTGTCCCCACTGTAGCTGCATGTTCCATACACCACGACAGCTAGACATCCACACCCGCAAGGCCCACCCCTCTGCCCTTGCCCGGAAACCTGCCCATCCCCGCAGGGTTCCGGGGAAACTCCACCCCTGCCCGCAGTGTGCCCGCAGATTCCCGTACCTGGGCACCTTGCTGAAGCACTGCAAGAATTTGCACAAAATGGCCGTTGTTCGCATCGATGGACACATCAGTTGCGCTGACTGTGGGAAGAGCTTTGAGAATTGCTGGGGCCTGGGGCCTCACCGGTGTCACGAACCAGAGGGTTCTAAACCTAAGGACACTAAACCTGTGATCTGTCTGGAAGTCGGCTTCCATTGCTCAGAATGTGGCAAGATCCTCACTACTCCTACGAGCCTGAACACTCACATGCGCATCCACACCGGAGAGAAGCCTTACGAATGCAAAGAGTGCGGCAAAAGATTCTCGAATGGCAGCAGTTTAGGCAAACACCTGCTGATACACAAGGGGGTCAAAGAATTCAAATGCCAGGATTGTGGGAAGGCTTTCGCCCAGGCAAACCTTCTCAGGAATCACATGACTGTTCACTCTGGTGAGAGAAAGTTCTCCTGCTCCCAATGTGACAAGCGGTATGCATACAGGGGTAGTCTGGAGCTTCACCTGCGCGTACACTCAGGGGAGAGACCTTTCAAATGTACTGTGTGTGGTAAAGACTTTGCTGACAAATGTTATCTGAAAACGCACCTGAATATACACAACAACCAGAAAAACTACCATTGTGGGGTTTGTGGGCGGAAGTTCATAAGGCTTGGGTTGTTGAAGTTACACATGCGCTCACACACCGGGGAGAGGCCCTACCACTGTACAGTGTGCAACAATAAGTTTTTTAGACTCTCACACCTGAAGAACCATCATCTCACTCACACAGGTGAGAAACCATACACCTGCACCGAGTGCGGTAAAAGCTTCACTCAGTCTGGAGATCTGGCCAAACACAAGCGCTTCCACACTGGGGAAAGGCCATTTGAATGTTCTGAATGCCACAGCCGGTTTATCTGTTCAGGTTCTCTGACCCTGCACATGAGGACCCACACTCACCGTGATGTAAAGCCATACTCCTGCCAAGAGTGTGGGAAGAGCTTTTATGAACAGAGTCACGTTAAAGTCCACATGAAAATCCACAAGGGGAAACCGTATTCTTGCCCCCACTGCTTTTTTTACTTTGCTCGCAAGAGCAACCTCTCCAATCACCTGCCTAGATGTCCTAAACGTAAATGAGTTAAACCTATGAATGAATAGGAGGGGGATTCGTTCCCTTCAGTGATCGATGCTTGACAACAGATGCAAACAATGTACCCCTACTATGTATAGTAACTCCATATCACAGAATCTACCTATGATAACACAATGTCTTTAGTAATAGTCAAATTTGTTCACATACAGTACCAGTCAAAAGTTTGGACACCAACTCATTCAAAGTTTTTTTTATTTTTTAAAAACTATTTTCTACATTGTAGAATAATAGTGAAGACATCAACTATGCAATAACACATATGGAAACATGTAGTAACCAACAAAGTGTTTAACAAATCAAAATATATTGGGGAAAAAATGTATGCACTCACTAACTGTAAGTCGCTCTGGATAAGAGCGTCTGTTAAATGACTAAAATGTAATATTTGAGATTCTTCAAAGTAGCAACCCTTTGCCTTGATGACAGCTTTGCACCCTCTTGGCATTCTCACAACTAGCTTCATGAGGTAGTCACCTGGAATGCATTTAAATTAACAGGTGTGCCTTGTTAATTTGTGAAATTTATTTCCTTAATGCGTTTGAGCCAATTAGTTGTGTTGTGACAAGGTAGGGGTGATTTACAGAAGATAGCACTATTTGGTAAAAGACAAAGTCCATATAATGGCAAGAACTGCTCAAATAAGCAAAGAGAAACCACAGTCCATCATTACTTTAAGGCATGAAGGTCAGTCAATCCGGAAAATTTCAAGAACTTCAAGTGCAGTGGAAAAACCATAAAGCGCAATGATGAAACTGGCTCTCATGAGGCTGGCCACAGAAAAGGAGTTACCTCTGCTGCAGAGGATAAGTTCATTAGAGTTACCAGCCTCAGAAATTGCTGCCCAAATAAATTATTCACAGAGTTCAAGTAACAGAGACATCTCAACATCAACTGTTCAGAGGAGACTGCGTGAATCAGGCCTTCATGGTCAAATTGCTGCAAAGAAACCACTACTAAAGGACACAAATAAGAAGAAAATATTTGCTTGGGCCAAGAAACACGAGCAATGGACATTAGACCGGTGGAAATCTGTCCTTTTGGTCTGATGAGTCCAAATTTGAGATTTTTGGTTCCAACTGCCGTGTCTTTGTGAGACGCAGAGTAGGTGAATGGATGATCTCCGCATGTGTGGTTCCCACCGTGAAGCATGGAGAAGGAGGTGTGATGGTGTGGGGGTGCTTTGCTGGTGACACTGTGATTTATTTAACCAGCATGGCTACCACAGCATTCTGCAGCAATACGCCATCCCATCTGGTTTGCGCTTAGTGGGACTATCATTTGTTTTTCAACAGGACAATGACCCAACACACCTCCAGGCTGTGTAAGGGCTATTTGACCAAGAAGGAGAGTGATGGAGTGCTGCATCAGATGACCTCCACAATCACCTGACCTCAACCCAATTGAGATGGTTTGGGAAGAGTTGGACTGCAGAGTGAAGGAAAAGCAGCCAATAAGTGCTCAGCATATGTGTGAACTCCTTCAAGACAGTTGGAAAAGCATTCCAGGTGAAGCTAGTTGAGAGAATGCCAAGAGTGTGCAAATCTGTCATCAAGGCGAAGGGTGGCTACTTTGAAGAATCTAAGATATATATTGATTTGTTTTAACACTTTTTTTGGTTACTACATGATTCCATATGTGTTATTTCATAGTTTTGATGTCTTCACTATTATTCTACAATGTAGTAAATAGTAAAAAATAAAGAAAACCCCTTGATTGAGTAGTTGTGTCCAAACTTTTGACTGGTACTGTACATTAGATTGTTAGTTACGTTTTTGTTGTCTTGTAGTTGTTTTTAAAACTTGTTTTATTTTCTCAACAAAAACAAAACAAAAAAGGAACAGTGATATACAGAAGATTGTTTGATGACTGATTGTCCTAGTGATGAGTAGGTGATAATGTTTCGAAAAGATGATTGGATGTTTATTTTCCTTTGTGTTTGCAGTGTATTCCTTGATTTGGAACAAGAGGACCATTTATGGAAAGGTCACTCTCCTAGTATTGTTATAAACATGACATTAGATTAATTAAAATTAATTACATAGAGACCACTTGAACAGTTGGAACACATTTGTTTCAGTCCATAAGCCATCATTGACCTGCACTGGTTGTAATATTGCAATAGCAAACCTATGTAGCCTAGAATGTGGGAAGAGCTTCTATGAACAGGAACAAGTTTGATGCCACATGAAGACACACACAGCGGAGAGAACGTACCCCTGCCCCTCTTGCTTTTCCAGCTCAGATGTTGTAAATGATCATGATTTGCCTTTTTTATATAACACCTTTATAATGAAACTCATTGTATTCATAGGTATCACGTAGAGATGACTCCGCCACAGTGAAATTACAACGTTATAATCATGGAATACATTGGAACATCATTAGTAGATTATAGTTACATTGTTTAATGAACTAAGTTTTTGTACTTTTTTCATATTTTTTTTCTTCATTTCAGCGCTTTTTAAATGATGTACACAAGATGATTTGTATGCAGACTCCTGGTGATGACTGACAAGAAAGGTGACAGTCTGTGAAAGATGTCATGTCTGTTGTGTGTTTTGTGCTTAAAGGTAGACTCAGCGAAATGACGTTGCCACGAGCAGCACCACAGATATTGTGATGAGCGAGATGCAAGACTTTGCTCTCACACAGTATCTGCGCCAGTGGAGGCTGGTGGGAGGAGCTATAGGAGGACGGGCTCATTGTAATGTCTGGAATGGAACCGAGTCACACGTAGTTTCCATGTGTTTTATACTGTCCCATTTATTCCATTCCTGCCATTACAATGATTCCGTCCTCCAATAGCTCCTCTGATCTATGCTATGTGCATGGGTCACTTTATGCTATTACAGCGTGATAGCACCGGGACCAAAACAGCAGAGAAATGTAGCCTCGCACTTCAACGCACTTAGTTATTGCGGAAATTGACCCACTATGTTTACTTTGTGCATCTACGTCATATCACTGAGTCTACCTTTAACGTAAATCCCCATGAACCCACATCACTCCCAGAGTAATGTCAATTAAAATACATTTAAATTAAGTTGGGTTAACAGGGTTACCACTTGAACAGAGAACCACCCATCCTGTCATTAACTGATTTTTACCAGTCCATAGGCTAAGAACCATCATTGGCCTGCAGTGGTGTTGATATTACTTTGTCCTGTACAGCATTGGTTCTCAACCGTGGGTACTAGCCTAGGACCCCTGGGGGTACTTGAGAAAACTCATGAGACTATAGGCCTACTGGTAAAATGCACTTGATGGGGGTACTTCAGGGGTACTCCGGGAAAAGCAACATTTTGTTGGTGGTACAGTAACCGAAAAGGGTTGGGAACCAATGCTGTACAGTATTGTTCCCACATTTTGACAGCAGAAGAGGCCTTAATGCTGTCTATTATTATTGCAATAAAATAACATTTTTTATTATCATAAACATACAACACATTTCCAGTATCATTTATTTTGATGAATGTTGCTTTAAGAATCCACACCAATAAACCGCCTCCAAATCGTTGCATATCGAGAAGCCATTACCTGATTGGTCAAGGCCACGTTCAGTAGGCACCGTAAGGACATAAACCAGGAAGTGCAGCGTTTTTTTTGGCGTCGACAAAGGTAGGCGAGGCTGTGTTTGCCCTTCTATCGTTGAGCATTTACGAGATTTAAAATAATGTGTTAGCCTTTGCTGTATTGTTCTCATCAACAAAGACAAGACTACTCGTTAACGACTTCAGTGAAACTCCATATGATTATTGCATTTTCGTTTTCGTGTGTTGCAGAAGAGATACTGGATATAATGACGAGATGCTTTGTGTCGCCACCCTAACAATGGGGATTCGTTGTCCACAGAGCAGAACGGCGGGCTCCCCCCCCTATTATTTTCTTTAGATTGGTGGATACATCTCGTTATTTTACTTGTCTTTAAATATTATATGAGGGTTGTTGACGTCCACCGCCTGTAGACGTTTTGAATTTCAACAGGGACAACTCTGATACAGTGTTTTTTCTCAAAGTTGCCGGGATGTCAGTGCATCACACTTATATCAGTACACTCGTAACAACCTAGCGTAAGCATTACCAAACTTTTATTATATAAATAAGCCTCACGTATTAAAATAGCATTTCCTTTGTATCTTGATTAAATTCGACACTCATTGCCCCCACCCCATACAAAAACCCCTCACATTATTAATGATCTGCTGAACGTGGACAGATTTTGGGCAGAGTAAACCCTCTCGCTTCACCTCTTCCTATCTGGTTGCACTTGCATTCAGTAGCATCTATGAATCACATGATTACATAGGATTGACGTCAAACGGAAGAAACAAGGACAGGATGGTTCATGGGGTTATTCATTACGCCGATTCTGTTGCAAAACGTTTCTTAAACTGAACGAAACGGGGAGGGACCTATCTGAATTTGTCCAATAGAAACTCGTGGTTGGACTAATGATTACACCCCTGATGTTCTGAGATTCTCTCTGGTTTTTACAAAACAACTGCTGCTGTGAGATTATTATATCAGGATTCAAGGATGCTGCGAGATTAGGATATCAGGACCAGTTTAAAGGCGCTACATGGTCAATCTGATGTTGGCATTAGCCGTGCAGCATTTACGGTGATACGCCTCGGCAGAAGTCAGGGCATTTATACTTCTTGCGCTTTGCAGCGCAGAGCTGTTGTCAAGGAAGTGAGTTGGTGTTTATACAGGACCTCCCGTCCCCACCTACCGTCACCCAATCATGTCAATGCTGAGGAGCTATACCGAGCCCTCCACATTGTTACAACATTTGGGAGACGCACGGTGGTGCGGTATGGAGCTCAATTTGGCCTCTGCATGCCTCCAGGGGAGCCGCAATTGCGTCACACCATCCATACGGAGCCTCCGTCCACATTCCCAGATCAAGCATAAATCGGCTTTTAGACAAAGCAATTTTAACGGTAGAGCAAAGGATGGCAATATATGGGAAATTGATGGCTGC